TGAGAAAAAATTCGATCGCACTTAAGTCAGAATGCGAAGTCTCGAGAGACGACGGGGTTTCGTGACTCGCGTTCATAATATGAAACGGACAGGAGACAGCATAAAAACAACTACAGCAACTACATAATTATATTAGACTTTACTTTTTTATTACCGGAAGTAGTAGGCAGATGATAATAATACGTAGTAGATATTCTTTTTAATAGATAGATTTGTGGATCACAGAAAGTGGTGCTGTGCGCGAATCGAACATGTAAAACGTTGCGCGGCAGCCAGTTGCCGGCTACCACGCCAACCAGCCACATGCACCATGGTCATTTTTGATACGTATATAAACACAGTAGTAGTGTGGAGTACCCACACTAGGTTTATTTATTTATATATTCTATATTGCACACATACACCAAGTACCTAAAAATGCATGGGTTGGGTTTTGCATTTTCATGCGTTTGACTGCATAATAAAGTGTGAAATTTGAAAGTAAAGCCAAGTAAATTCCTAAAGACATGAGGTTGACAATTTTCCTTAAAAGATTGAAGAAAAACAGCTTCACAAGTAAATTCACACTGATACTTATCAGTGTTGCTTAATATCCTATAACGATAACAACCGAATTACACGTGAATATCCCATTTTTTTTCTTTAGCAAAAACTTTTTTCTTTCTACAAAGAATGCTTTTTATTTTAGGAAAAAGGAATTATTCAATTTGATGCACCCTATTAAAAGTATTGAGTACATTTATTTTATTTGGATAATCTATTTTATGTGATCGTCGGACTACCTAACGAGTAAGTTATAAACCTTGAGTTTAGAACGTCTCTTTGAAGTTATGCCGAACGTGTTCAAGACATCGTGTTTCTCAACATTATGAGTGCTTGCGTCTAAGTTGTATGTTGCAACTTCACTGTTGCAACAATCAGCAATACTATAGGTACCTACTATATTTTTTTTTGTATTTATTTAAGTATGTAATGTAAATATTTTTAAGTGATCGGTAGTAGTGTAGGATAGAGAAACTGAATTTACTAAATACAAGAGACCGCTGCTCATTAATACCCGCAAGTGTATGAGAGCCGTGGCTTAGCATGAATGGGTTGATATTATAGTACCTTATAAATCTATTTCTTTCAAAAACGATTTGGAACGTCTGAAAATCATGTCTTCGATCAAGTTGCGACTGCAAGGTTGGCGCAGTGGCTGAGTTAGGCTCCTGCGCAACGTGCCGCGTCGTTCGATTCCCGCACGGAACTACACGTTGTGCGATCCTCAAATTGTTGTTTCAAGTCTGGGTGACTTGTGTATGTTAATTTGTATGTTTGTAAACGCATCCACGAAACAGGAGAAAATACAAACGGTAAAAAAACGAGAAAAGTTAAACAAACTTGTCGAGTTCAAGACTAACTATTCGCCCTGTTATTCGCCAATAACAAGGTAAAGTTAATCCTTTTCTTCTAAATCATACAGATCTGCTTACCCTCTTCCTACGTCAGAATACTGCAAATATTGGCTATGAACACAATTTCATATGACAATATTATTTTGTTGAGCACTGTCTAGCATAGAGAAGGGACAGTAGTCCCAATCAGGTGAATCCTTGAAATTTATATAAATCTTTAGGCAGTTCTTGGAGATTTTTTTAAAGAGGGAAAGGCATCAAATGAATTCCTGGATAGGGCGAGAGTTCACAATCTAGTGGTAACTTAAAACTACCCTGTTCCTCCTCCTGTGCCAGGTCGGAGTGCTACCGTACATTACACGGCTAGATATCAGCCCAAGTGGGCCCCATAATCTGTGGTTGCCGATGGTGCTCGCAGAACGCGGCGCGCCGTGCTCTACTCTTTACAATTTTTATTTGACGGGTCGGCAAACGAGCACACCCATTACCTGAAGGAAAGGACAAGCGCCGCCCGAGTACACCCACAACAAGTGTGTGTGGTTGCTGCTGTTGTTTCACGCCGGTTTTCTGTGAGGCTGTGGTATCACACATTCGTGCCGAAGTATGTCTCTCCCACACTTGAAGCTTATTTTATAAAAACACAATTTTTAAACATCTTCAAGAAAAGGTATTTTTCCTACTGTTTATACTACTTTTGTGCTGTTTGATTGCGAATAACTAAGTCGCTTATGAACTGATTTTGAGAATTATTTTGTTTGTTTGAAATCTTATTTCATCCCATTGTCACTTATTTTGAATCTGATTATCGGATTCCTGGAAAACTGAGGGGAATTTGTTAGGTCTACAAGTATCTTTGTTAATTTAATGATTAAGTATATTAAAGCACTATATTTTAAAGAAAAACTGTAGTTGTACTAACGATGAAGCTGAAACACCGCCGAAGGTTCTTCTTGAGGATTTACAGCAATGGCTCTGGTAGGTACTTAGGCTTAAAGTGTGTATTGATGAAACCTTTACAGTCAAGTGTAGTGCGATTGTCATTAGAGGTGTGATGACGAAGTAGTACAATACTCAAAGGAACTCCTCGACAGTTAGCAGTTGCTACCTTGTTTTTGGGCTTAATTTTGAACTAAGGATTGTCAGGACATGAATAAACTAAGGTTTTTTTAGAGGCCAATTGTTTCCTAACGTGTTTGTAGGTCATGTAAACGATATTTGTATATGTAAGTGTGCATGGGCTTCATCCATTTAATTGAGTCATACTTCTGTTCGTTTTCTACATTGTGTTGTAGTACAATCGTATCTTATTCCAGTGAGTGGTTTTCGAGATAACCTCCTTTAGACAAACATACCTACCAACTTATTAAAAGGGAATCTACCTGTGTATTTCACATAAGTACGTAATTTTTGAACTAGAAGTAGCACTAGAGTTTTTATTATCTGAAGAGCTTGATTAAATGACAGGGGAAAAATAATAAAATAATTAACCGAAAACCTTTATTGTTCATGTGATACGTCGAAAAGCCGACTGATTACCTGATGGTAAGCAAGATGGCAACACCACAGGAGTTAAAAATGCGTTGTAGGCCTTTTAGGGATAAGGGTTTCGGATACTAAAGGATTGGGAAAAGACGGGGAAAGTAGAAGGGATTGGGCCACCGGTAACCTTTTTCCCATGGCGAAACACAACACTGTGGTCATTTCAGGTCATTTATAAGGCTGTGGTATCACTCCGGTCGGGCTTGCTTAATTATGGCTCTCCATTCTGATGATGAGGAATTCTACGTTAAATAATTACCTTAATTAAATGAATACCTATATTTTAATAAAATCTGTAACAATGTACGTTCCGAATTGCTCAACCTTATGCTTATGCTAGTTCCAAAACACAGATCCGTAATGTTCGCTTCGCATGCAGAAGAACGTGTAAGGAAACTGTTCACACTCCATTGTCACAGAGAAAAAGCTTTTGTTATAGTACTAAAAAGTTACTATAAAAAAACAACAATGGATGCTTCAAATGATTCTTCAATTAGAGTTCTAGTGTTGTCACTGTTAATAAAAAAATGCGAATACAATAGAACAACGTTTTTGTAATCAGCTTGCCGGATTTAGGAGATTAGATCCGCAATGGATAGCCAATTATATGGATAGTTTGGATAGACAATAGTCATATCTTTTTTTTTTATTATGTAATAGGTCGGCAAACGAGCAGACGGATTACCTGATGGTAAGCAATCAGCGCCATGGACACTCGCAACGGAGGAGTTACGAGTGCGTTGCCGACCTTTTAGGGATTAGGGATTTAGAGATTTAGGGATTGAGGAGGGATTGGGGAAGGGGAAGGATTGGGCCTCCGGTAACCTCACTCACACGGCGAAACACAACGCAGTGGTTATTTCACGCCGGTTTTCTGTGAGGCCGTGGTATCACTCCGGTCGAGCCGACCCATTCGTGCCGAAGCATATGGCTCTCCCACACTTAGTTCTCTAGGTTCAGCCAAGGATGCAGGGCAAGCGCAGTAAGTTAAATCGCGTACCGCGTACATCGAGGGATTGGAACAGTTTGCCGGCTGCAGTCTTTCCGTCCAAATATAATTTAGGTGTCTTCAAGGCTAGAGTGAATAGGCTCTTAATAAACTAGTGCGCCTTACCATCAACGATAGCATTACTGCTTACCATCAGGTGGGATCGCAGTCGAGCACTAGTTTATAGCAAGTAAAAAAAAAAGTTATCGCAGCCTCGATCTGGAGACGAGCAGGGGTTGGTTTTTAGCTGTGCTTTTTAGTCAGTAACAGTCTGACACTCCTCAGCTTACCCTGAGCAAGAGAAGACTTTTGTGATTATCCACAACACATTCCTTATTAAAAATATATTCCAGGAAAATCTTATAGAATAATGAAAAGCATATGACATTGTTCTCAAAAACTTTATCATCTACTAGCTACTCTCGCGCGGTTTCACCCACTGCTCGGCTCCATTTAATCGTAGCGTGATGATTTATAGCCTACAGCACTCAGGAAGATTGTAGCTATCTCTAAGTATAAGAATTTTGGCAATACGACCAGCCTAGGCCAAGCCTAACCAAGCATTACCTATATAAATAATCGCCTCATATGGTAGGCAGATGGTAGCGCTCTAAGGCCCCAATTTACAATGAAAGTGTTAGAACAAATTAAAACAAAGATGAAAAAAAAATAACGAAATAAATAAGTTTTCGACGTACTTTATTGACCTCCACGTACAACGCTGTACACATCAAATAAATACAACTTTCCACAAACATATTATGTTACATTACATTAAAACTTAAATTACATATTTATTCGTAATAACAACACCGTTATTTTTATCGACTATCAACATTAGTCTATTTTTAAAATGATTTTTAAGAATAATATTTTTTTTTCATTTCTTATTTTAAAAACTTGTATTTCACGTACTATTATTATATTGTATAACAATTTATTATTAAATATTTGTACACTCTGAAATACCTAGTATTTTATTTTGATGGATAATTAAATATGTCTATCTTTTACTCTATTTAATTATCTACAAACAACAGATCTTTGGTCAATAATTCATAAATTACAAGGCACTTTTGAGTATTACATATAAGTACTTACATTTAATAATTATTTCATTATGTTAAATATGACTAGGACTCGACTAAGAAAGTGTGTTTATAAAATATTGTAGTCTAGGTACATTAAATATACAACTAAAACTAGTCATAATCCACAGATGATATATTAAAATGCTTATTACGTAGATAGTTTTAATATTATTCGTAAATTTATATAATATTTCATTTAAAAACTGCACAAAAAGAATGGAAAGTCATCGTGCTTTAAGTTTTTCGAAATACGTAAGTATTTAAAGAATAAAAATCTAAATAAGATCCCACAAAGATATCAGATAGAGACGATTAAATTAATATTTTATACAAAATTCAAATAAAAACGTGTCATATCTATGTTTAAATAGTTAGTTCTTAAAATTATTTAACAAAAACGTAATTAAATAATTTTAAAAATCTGTGTACTGTATTGACGCACCAACGCCATCTAGTACGACTGGCCGGTAATAGTCTTTCATCTCGCCCCAACCACGCGGCGCTACGTTGAAGTTTGGTCCAGAAACTAGTGGCAATCTTGGGCTCTTTGGTGAAGCATAGACATCATTTAACTTAGTAGGTGCTAATGGGACAGGTACATCAATATTCTGCACTGTGATCGTTGGAGGAGAGATCGGGAACGGCTCCATTTTCGGCAAGTTGCTGGAGTGTTTAAGCGCTGATTTGGGATAAGTTTTCTGGTTGCGTAAACTAGATGGCGGGCGGTACGGTGTGTCGTGGTTCGCAACGGGCGTCGGCGTGGAGCAGGCGTTCGATGTGTTTCGACCTGAAGTAGACAAACGGAAAAACTTTTAATTTAACGGAAATTTAATGTAGCAATCATTCAGAATAAGGCATGCCCTACACCGAAACGAAACCGATATCACCGGAATATTGTGTTCACGTCGCTTTGCAACCCCAGAATTCTATATCTTACGATCTACACGAGATTGAATACCGCAATGAAGACTAGACACTGTAGTAAAATTAATTAACATTCTGCGTACTATAAATATCGCGACATGTGCGCGAGCCTGTCTGGCTGCCGACCAAGCTGTCAATATCAGCTGCTGTCATTAATATCTGACTGGCAGCTTACAATATTTTCATATTTAATGAAACAAGCGGTTGGTTGTATAAGTATGCTTTATTGTAGCTAATTTTATAATTGATGTAGTTAAAGAGGAAACACAGGGAGCTATTTATATTGTTTCCCGTAGAAATATAATTTCTCTGGTGTTAAGATTATCTATGAGCCGCGCTGATTGTTTACATTGATGTGATCTGGGCAATAGTTTACCGACCATTCCCAAAAGAAATTTAAAAAACTGTTAAAGTGTGAAGAATGTCTCCATGGTTTTTTAAAACAATACTATTGTGTAGGAAAAATCGATGTCTCTAAATTATATACCGAATGCTTTCTCGTTAAGTTGCCGCAACTTCGGATGATGCTTATAATTCGACAAAAAACAATGATAATGAATACTCATTTCTTAATTCTGTGTCGTAAACTACTACTTTATAATTTAACTCGTGTTGACTGTCTCTGGTACAATAAATATTTTTACAATACTATAAATAATCAATGTTCTAACGCGTACCTCGTCCTTCATGCACCCACTTGACCGATCTCTTCTTCCTGTTCACGTACATACTCTGTCCTCTGCTCATGTGGTTGCTGGAGTCACTCAGGGACTTGGAGATGGCTCTCGCCAGGTCCATCTGCTCCTTCACTGTGGGGTGCACTCCTGGCACGTAGAATGCTGATGATGCGAATGTTTTCTCTGAAATCAAGAAATTTTTGATTGTGATATGTGTCAAACGGAATTACTGTTGATAATAGAGTATAGTTTTTAATGCACTATAGGTATCTAGTATACGCCCACCTATCTATACAAAAACTACATTGTGTACAATTCATTATTTTTCCTACAGAAACATTTAGTATTATGCTATACAAAATTCAGCAATACATACTTTGATATGAATATAAATAATAATTATTGAATTAGCCTACATTAATTGATACAAAATATAATTTATAAGAATAATGGACAATAATAATTTTACTCAGTTCTCCAGGCTGTTTTAACTAAGTTATCATTCTACATCAATAGATGGCGTTACCTACATGATGAGTAGTTGACCTAAGAATAGGTAGTAGAATAGGTCACTACTATCTGTCCAAGAATAGATACAGTCAGGTGAGTGGGTAGCATACAACAGTACAAACGTAAGAGCATAGAATACGGTTTGTGATGAAATCGAAGAAGAAAATCACAGTCATAATGACATTACGAGTGTGATACAGAACGCTATGCTATTATAGGACTAAATTTATTGAAAATAACGACTTCAAATAACTTCAAAAGCTTTAGTAGAGCTAATTAGTGACTCTAATTTATCAGCAGGGTGTCCGTAGCGGTGTCTGTTGCAGCCAACAAAAATAAAAAATGTCTCACGATAGTTATTATTCAAAAATTACTGGACTAGTAGATTTATTCTTCTACGCTTAACTAACCTTAATTATCCATCTAGGAAATTATTTTTAAGTAACAGACTTGATGAGAAATACGTTTGTAGTAAGTGTAATGTAAATGTACTTAATAGCTTCACGTTATCTATCTAGCTACTAATATTAAGGTAAAAATTGAAAAATTAAAAAATTTTGAGGTAAAAATTGTAAGCGTGTATGTCGGATTTCCAAAAATCTTTTACTGATAGATACCTGCATGCTATAGGGTATTCATTATACTTCTTGATTTGCGTTTTTAGTTGAGCAATCGCTTTAAACGCTGTTGTTTTTAAAATCTCGGAAACATTACTTTTATACGCGGTCTAACGCTAGTTATTTATAGTAGTTTATTCGAATAATACAAGCATTTTCAACCACTCAAAATCTAAGTCTCATTGCCAAATCAAGCTTTTAATGACTAAAACACTAATCAGAAAAGGTCTGACAAGCGTCTGACTCAGTCGAGAATTGACGCAAATCGTGCACTACCAAAACAGTTGGCGTAAAGACGTCATACCGAACAATAGAACAGAACTACTTCATGCAAATGAAACGTTCCCAAAATAACTCCAATCTTTGGGTAAAGGACGTCTCTTGTTTTCTGTGCAGCATATTCATAATGAAATGAACGCGTTGAATAATTTATTTGCTCGCGTCAACTTCTGAAATGAAGTTGGAATTGCTTTTACATTTACAATACGTGTAAGTACAGAATATTTACTTGCATACAAAATTATTATAATAAGTTTTTATCCGCACAATATGAGCAATAAGGAGAACCGAAGGTTAGCTTTAGCCATTTGTGACTGCATTAAAACACAAAATGTCCTACATTTTTAATTACGCAAGTTGAAATTGTATAGTAACTACCGCGACTTGTCCTAATGAGGTTATATCCTCAAACCACAAAATATAAGAGTGGCTATTCATTCTCAATTGCATGGGAAACTCAAGGAAGGCATTATTCTCCTCTTGTATTGACCTATACAACATATACAACAGAAAGTTGAGTTAAAGTTGGGAAATGCATCACATTTTAAGAAAAACTGACGGTCACTACATTTGTCTAGCCTTTGCGGACGATATTAACGGAAGAATACTTCAGTTGGCGAAAATTTAATATTTATTGTTATACATCATATATTATTTACTATTTTAATTTACAGCACTCATTTTTTATTACGTACATTGCTGTTTTGATGAGAGAATATCATGAATAGCAAGAGAGTGTCAGACTCTAAACTCTGAAGGGCTAAAAATCACCCCGTTTCTTTTCCAGCTCCAGGCTGGGCCATTTGTACGCAGAAGCCTGTCTGATACTCCTTTAGTATATGTTCGCATTGCAGCTGTAGAAAGACTGACCCTTATAAGCAAATATCTCCAATGGTGTTCAACCGCACAATCATTGCAACAGACCAACCTGACGCATCCCAAAAATAAATCATCTTAACAGCATGAAATAACGAAATTAAACTAGATACAGCATTAAAGTATGAGGAAATAGTAAACGATAGGATAAGAGGTCAAAACAGTTAACCCCATTACGTTACGATATTCGTTTATCTCCGAGAGAGAAAATCATCAAAGATTTCAAGACAGTAAAAGATCACCTAAATATAATGTCCTATTAATCATTTAGTCTACCGTGTTCAAAGTGCCGGAACTGTATATGCTGTGCAGTAAGTGTTGAAAACACTAAGCACCTATAATAAACAATAACTATGGCCTTTATATTTAATTAATTAGGTCGAATTATCTGCTAGTACTTGCCAATTTAGTTAGTTTATTTGTAACAGATTTAGAACTTCTGGAAAGCCCGTGCGAAATGAATCTACTCAGTAATTTTTCCACGAGACACAGTTTTGCTATGGAGCAGGTGGTCAATGGACATTCAGATCATATAATGGTTAGTGATCAGGGCTGTATGGACACCAGTATCACTAGGGGAATCACAAGGGCTTTAACGGCCTTTTAAGAAGGAGAACGCAATGTTCTTGAAGATTTAAACGTTTTTTGGTATGAAGGTGTAAGTTTTACTGTGGTATAAATGCCACATTGAATCTAATACTGACAAATTATTGCAATTTGTTTAAGACAATTTGATGTTTTTTTTTTTTCTAAAAATAGCAGTTGTTTTGCGTGTCCGGCTAAATAATGACCCTTATTTATTGTAAAACTAGCTACTGTCGCTCGGCTCCATTTCATCGTAGCGTGATGTTTTATAGCCTATAGCACTCAGGAATATTTTAGCTATCTATCAGTGAAAGAATTTTGGCAATCCGACCAGCGAGCGGTTCCAAAGATTACCACCTACATACAAACTTACAAACATTGAAACTTAAAAATTTTAGCTCTTTATAATATTATTATAGAAGTATAGATATGAGAGGAAGAGTTTGAAAAGAGAAAAATCCTTACCAAACTTGCGGTCCTTCTTGATGATGTGCTCTTCAGCATCAGGCGCTGGTGTGAAGATCTTGTTCAGGTCCACCTCTTTCTCTCCTATTAAAATAGGCTTGTTTTCCATGTCCTCCTGAAATGTTACGTAATTATTTATAACATTGTTTGTATTATTGGCAAATATGAAAAGGGGACTATTCACATTTGAAATGGTAGGTTTAGATTGATGAAAATAATGTTTAGGTAAAACTGTAGCTGTATTTCAGTTCAGTAGTGTTTCAGAAAACACGTGTGTATTTTAGTTTTGCATTTTTACGCTTAAATACAAAAAAATCTATGAAAATTGCTATATTCAAAAGTAATAAAAAATATTTTGAGTGTAGTAATAGTTTCAAATAATAGATGGCAGTAGTTTCGCATAAGATCTTTTCTCAAAATCATATAGAGTTGAGTTTACTTTGAAATTTAGCGTACTACATTCGTTTGGATTAAATTCTGATCGGTGATTGATTGAAAACAATTCTGATAAAACATATTTTGAATTTTAAAATATTGTTTTTCTGGATTCGAACCAAAAACTGATTTGTTTATTTAAGTAATTAAGTACTAATAATTATTAGAAGACATATCTAATAATGTGCTGAGGCGTATTTACACAAACAAAATACGCTGCGGAACGAAAATTATCTGTCGTATTGTAGTATAATTAGCAGCCTTAGTCACTTAGATGACACATATTTCATGAAAATCTAGGATGAAAACAGCAACAAAATCATCTCGTCTGAAGAAAGAGCAATAATGTGCATTGCTAATTACATTTGGAAGAAGTTCAGTATCAAAGTGATTTAGTGAGAGTTTAAATACTTTTGAGTTGATTTATCTTTCTGTAGGAACATGTATTATGAATGCTGTAAATAGCAGAAATAAGGTAAATACCTATGTACATTTTTAAAAGAAGAAGTGTAAAATGTGTTTCCTAAATACCATGACTAGGTATTAGGTTTGGATTGTAAAAAAAGTAATTGTTAGTTCTTTGAAAAGTTAAGCAAAATAGTCATTAATGTAATTACTGTTTATTTATTTAAACTCAGTAATCTCAGTATAAACAATCAAAAAGGCTTGAAAAAACCCTTAATTTCGGTTACTTATTTCTGTAAGACTTCGTTATATTTTCAATATAGAAAACAGAGTATTTAATTACTATCAAATATCAATTGTTTGTGTAATAGTTAGGTCGCTATCTCGCTCGGTAAGCAAAAAGCTTTTCAAATCTGACGAAAAAAGGGTACCAACGCAGAAATGGTAAGAACACAATTGCTTATCCTTATAAGAATTTTAACCGGCGTGAATCATTGAGAACTTTTTTTCAAAACTACAGCAATATCGAAACAAAACAATTTGAATTTAGAATCCTAGCTAGAAACCATGACGAAAATGTCTATTCTTAGTCCCAAAATACGTGCCGTACCAATCATTCAATGTTGCCAACGTTATAAAAATGCTCCACGGAAAACAAAATGGAAGGTCATTCTTATCTTTGATGGTTTGTTTCTAGAGATGAAATTAGAAAATAAATAAAATAACTAGGTAATAAATAAATTTATTGCGATCTTCTTGTATTTAAACATTGTGAATTTATACATTTCATATTTTTTTAAAGTGTTTACTTCTAATTTGTTTTGTCGATTTCGAATTGGTGTGCCATTTTCAAATTCCAAACTCTCAGTAAACACATTCTTTATTAAGGCCAATAAGCGACCTCTTTATCTCTTATAACCTAAAAGCTAAGATCAGAAGAAACAAAATAACTGTCAAAAAGTCTTTGTTACATTCGAAATATGAATTAAACTTTTGAGAAATTAAGCTGTGATGTTATATGTTACCTATATTTACCACTGTCCTTGGTTGTAACATAGTCTGCATGTTATTCATTACTCAACAACATTTTCTATTAAATATTTGGCTCTTGGCTCGTGTTTGTAAGTGCTCGTAAGATCTCGAGCAAGATATAATGCAAGTGATTCTTACCTAACACACTTGTGTTATGGGATTATATGTCTTATTGCGAGATAAAATAGAGTTGTTGATTGTGTGAGCTTGTGTTTATTAAAGTGGGTAGATTGGTATTGCCACGTTATGCGGTCATCTGGTAATATTCGACTGGTTTAGGGTTACCAAAGTAAAAATTAATTGTTTTACTTGGTGCCCTTAATCGTTTTCAATTCTATTTTTTGTAGGTACAATCACTGTCATTGAAAATGTGAATTAAAGAAAAGTATGTAATTAAATACTAGTGTAAGTAATTTTCATAATTGACTATTTTGCAATTATTGTTAAGAAAGTAAATTAGTAATAAAACGAAATATTAGTAAACACAGACAGATAAAGCGAAAGCAAGATTTACAAATAAAATTATACATTAATAAATGTTAATAAATAAAATATGAATTAGTATATTTATACAAAATGAGTAAAACTCACATAATAAATAAAAATAACTAAGATGTTTTCTAAAAATATATATCTTTTTTCTTTTTTGTTCTGTTTTTAAAATGAGAATGGTATTTATTTACACTGGTAACACTTGAAACTAATGTGTCTATAATTTTTTCTACGATTTTAGGATAGTCTTACAGTGAGACAGTCCATGGGCTCCATTAGCGCGTTGTCCCGGGGTATTTCTGCATCGTTCTGTATTAGCATAGTTTTATAATATTAATTTAACAGAATATTTAATTGAATATGTCAATATTGTAACTTTGTGTCACATATTTTAAGGTCACTTTGAGTTTGAATATATGAGCATATCTAGTAAAATTGTTTTTTTTTATTTCCTTCTTTTCAGTTAGTACCTACCAATTATATTTTGAATGTACAGTTTTAAGCTTTATGTCATAATTGTGAATTATATTAAAGATATTCTAAAAAACTATTTTGTAAGGCTTTTCAAGGACTCATAGGTACTGCAAGGCTCGTTAACGTTGTCTCGAAAAGAATTCATACGCCATAGCTAAAAGTCTACGAAAAATTGATCCGGAGCGAACGAGTTAAGCAGTTTTTTCTATCGTCTTGTCTGTCTGTCTGTAACAAATACTAGCAAAAGTTTACATCGTTTTGAATTAAAGCTTAATTTATTTATAGATATACATATAGCAAGAGTTTTAAGTAGGCTTGCTTGAAAAGTAGAGCAGTAACGCATGCCAAGTTTGTTTTACATGTGCTTAATAATTTATATTTGTGTATCTGTACTGGATATTTGACAGTTTTGTTTTAAAGTTGCGCATAAAAATTCTAAGGAGGTCTTCCGAACTATTGATGATAGTAAATCAATGGAATCTCTAAAAATCTTATATTATATACAGAAATCATGAAAAATTTAAGTAATTTGAGTAAATTATGTTTATTTTCATGCCAAACTGAACCCAATTCGAAATTTGACAACCAATTTTCCACTTCAAAACCCGATCTAAAAAATAATCGAAAATGAAGTAAAACCGTCCTCATCACATAACCTTAATTTCAGTTTAGTTTCAACAATCAATTTTATACTTATTAACTGTGGTGATAAAGTATAAAATCAATCGGGAAGATATTTTGACGTAGCTATCAGTTTTGGCAGTTAGCCAAATTGCGCAGGCGACTCGAACGGCTATGAAAATTTAATAAAAGAATTACTTTTTTTGTAATGAATCGAGGTCAATGGTCTTATTACAAGTTAAAATCTTGGATTCTAGATTAATTTAAAGTTTTAGTAGTTTAATTGTGATTGTTATTTTAAACAAAGGAAATCGTTTTTTTTTTTTGTTTAGGACAAGCATTTTGTATTGATGGAAAAGATATTACATACTTTCATAATATTTTTAGGAAAAATTATAATTTATAACTGACATTTGAAATTATAGTAATAAAATTATTAACAAGAAAACGGTACTACCTAGAGGATTGATAAATGCTTGCATTTTATTTGTTAAAATATTGCTCATTAAAGACAAAGAAAACCAAAAGAAAAAATATTTTAATTTTACCTATTCCTTCCATTATGCAACACTCGAATAACCTTCGATTTTCAAATATATAAAATCAGCTAATAACACGCATAAACACTAATATAAAATGACGTTCCAAACTGTTCATCGCCGGATAAAAGTTTAAATTTAAAAAAAGAATAGGTTCACAAATAACTCTTCCACCACTATTAATAAAAGAAATACACGTCCCCTATATGACACGCGTCGACAATTAATAATATCAAGACAATGTCATTTCAGTCACTATGTACTTGTATATGATATTATTGTAATTGGCAACACCATCTGTTAAGGCCTAGACACATTTATGGATGGGAAAAATTATTTATTTCTATCGAGTCAATCTTGCCTAAATAGATATTTAAAAGTAGCAGTCGCTGGAGGCTCCACACTCGTGGATGTAGATTTTACACTTTTTCAAGATATATTTTATATCTTTCTCTACAAACAAACCTTCTCTGGACTTCCACGAATAATTCAAGACCAAAATTATCCAAATCGACAGACATTGTTGAATTATGTATAACATTACAACGAAAAATGGAATTGATTTTTATATATATACATTAGAGATAGGTTACTGAGTTTGTATATCTTTGGTTGGATTTTGCGCGGCACTAGTATATAATCAAACTTTCAAGATTGTTTTATGATAGTCTGCTGTGGTAAGCTATAGGCGTCCCACATAGATACTCGGAATAACTAGAAATTACTCGACAGTTAAATGTTTAAACTCTGTGTTCAAATGAAAACATATAAACATGACTTCATGAAATTAATAAGATGACTCTATAATCATGTACAATAAAAATATACGTACTTCTTAAGCTATATAATTTAGAGAATTACCATGTTTTGGAATTATATTTTTTAGTACATTAGTATCTTTTCTGACCGGTTAGGTTTATCAGACTTAGAACTTAGTCATACCTTATTAGTATAGAAAGTACATGTCCTAATTTACACGGAGAAAGCTAAAGTCTGCTAACGTCTTTTCTAAACTCACGCATTGCTTTATCATTTCTGTCTTTGTTTTTAAATATGAACATTAGAACACGTCAAAACTACCTACTGATATTACTAACAGGAGAGTTTGTAAGCATGG